TTTTTTTTTTTTTTTTCCTTCTTTCTTTTTCGGTACTGGAGATGTGAGCTAAACCCCCAGCCCTGAAGGGTCCTGGATTCTGACCATGTAAATCAAGCTAGAGTGAGAAGCGACCACCTTCCATTGGAGAAAACCAAGAAGATACTTATACTAGGCTGTCTTTGTGGTCACTTAACATTGTAGATCTTGGTTAATGGCCTCTCCCTGGTGCTGTGACAGTGGTCACTTTTTTTGTTTTTTTGCCAGATGGCTCTGACTGGCCTCTGCCTGTATCTTTTGTTCAAGCATGATGACTATCTTTTTTGCTTCTTCTGAACTCTAGCCACCCATAACAATAGTGTAGGCTGTGAAAGAGAAGCATGTATGAGAATTTATTGGGAGTTCAGAGGGTTATTAGGTTATGTGTTAATTGGTCAGAGTTTTCTCCAAAAGGGCATCTCAACCAGGGGAATTATTTCATGTAAGGCTGGACACAGGTTTCTTGGTATCTTTCTTCTCTGCTTTGTAACTCACCAGCAATAATACATCCTATCTTGTGCACCTCAATGAACAGACTTGGCCTCCTCACGTTCTTGACAAACCTGTGTATGTTCCATATGCAGTGTTCGGTCAAGTTTTCTGACTGTCCCCAAACCATACCCTGCTGTCTGTGTGTTCCCACCAAAGCTGTCCGTTTTGGTCCCTTGGCTTTGCTATTCGCAGGTGTCTGGAACTGTCAAGGTCCTGGTCCCAAAGGTCCTGGTTCTGTTGGCAGGATGCATATGTGATGACTCTTTAGCGGGATTGTGACCTACAAAATCTAGTTTGTATGTAGGTGTGAAGGGGATTTTTTAAAAAAATAAATTGAAAGTTAAGCTGTGAACAGCATTAGAATTTTGTCTATTTCTTAATTTTAAAATATATGCTGATATGCCTTAAACTGTAGTTGTAGATCTTGTCGTTTTGCTGTTTGGAAATAATCAGTGTTTTCTAAAACTGTTGTGTAACCTACTTTAAAACAGAATTGTCATACATATATATATACATATATATATGTAAGCTGCATGTTAGATGTCTGTCTTTTTTTAAGAACTAAAATAACTGTACTGATGTGAAACATATTATTTTTCCAAGTATGAAAGTAGTCACTCAGCAGCCTGCTGGGTAATTTGGTATCTGTTAAGGTAGGAGTGTGGTGAACAGGTAATCTATGCATTCGTATCACTAGTGCCAAGACAAAAAGTGGGGAAAATATATTTTTACCCAAATGTCATATTGTGTGCCCTTTTGTGAGTTCTTTTTGGTCACTGCTTCATATGCATTTGTACATACACACGCTTGCTTACCGTATCGGAGACCGGAACAGGGATGAAAGTTTTTCCTGCATTTTTGCCTTGTGTTGTGGACTTCAGATGCTGCTGCTTCTCCAAGACACACCTTGTGGGTGTCCTGTCCCTCCCACATTGCCTCTACCACCTTCCCTGCTCCTGCCCTGCCTGAGTCTCAGCCTTAGTGTGGCCGGGGGGGTGGGGTGGGGGGGTCAGCGCCCAGGAAGGGACCCCTTCTCTGCTATAGGGTCCGTGCAGTGCAGTGCCTCCTGCAGCTCTCGGGGACCCGTCCCTTTTACTTACACACCACCGTTCTTCCACAGCTTGTTGTAGAGAAGCATTTTTTTTTTTAAAGGCTTTAACAAGCAATTTTGAATCTGAAACTTTCTTTTTTCTCTCTGTAGCTTCTTCTTTATGTAACCATCCCGTTGACAAGCCCTACTCTCTCCTAATGGACATAGCGCATTAGAAGAGCAGGAGCTGTCTGTCACACGTGTTGGGGAAGAGTTACCTCATTTCCACCATCGCCTCCTGTTCTTTTAAAGTCTGGGTCAAATAATGCACTGCTGTTTGTATTTGTCAATGTCTGTTTACAAACCACTGCCCACAGTGGCTACCGAAGTGACTCCACTACCAAAAAATATACTAGTAATTAAAAGCAAAAAGGAAATTGAGTGAAACAGGGAACTTGGGCCCACACCCGAGGTCTCATGCTGGAATCCTCTTGCTTAGCTGTCATATCATTGAAGCTGCTGATCCAGGAACTTGTGGACTGAAGAGAGAATGTACCCCTGTACCTGAGGTGGCCACTGCCTCTGGGGCAGAACTGATCCGTGGTAATTACTGTCCTTTCTGTCCCTGAGCACTGCTCTGAGCAGCTTACTGGGCTACTGAGCCACCATCAGTTCATGAGATATGGGCAGCATTTTCCTTCTGTTTTGTGGGTTGTTTTGGTGTTTGGAATTTTTAAAAAAAAATTTGATATTGCATGCACAGAGATGGATGCAAATTTTCCTTTGGAGTGTCCTATTGATACAGTGTCTTTATTTTTCAGCTGACCATCTGCCTCTTGAGAAAGAGAAGTGGGCCTCCTTACTTTAAATTCAGGAACCATTGTGGTTTTGACTCTGTTACCTTCATCCCTTATTTATATAAGTTGTTTTGGAATTGGGATTCTGCTTTTTGTATAGGTTATTCAAACTTTTGGTGCCAAAATTATGGCAATTTTAAGCTCACTTCAAGGGGAATGTAACTGAAGTTTTAAATCACAAAACTGTTTAATATGCTCTCCTCATCTTAGATACAACAAAAAGAATCCCCTTTTTGTTACTAGGGTTTTGAACTACAAGTCTTAATCATGTTTAAAATATGCCAGTCTTGGGTAGATGATTTTTTTTCTGCCTCTGGGACTCAATTTATATTTAAAGATACGTTAAAATCACTTTCTGGCCCACCCCTGTCTTTATTTACCATGAAGCTCTCCTGGTTTTTTTACCAGGACCCATGTGTCCTCGACCACGGCAGAGAATCTAATGCAAACGCATAACACCTCCCAGACCAGCATCATTAATAGTGGTTCTGACTCACATTGTCTTCTCTAAGTGACCAAGGTAGGTGGCTTTGTACACAATGTCTCCACAAAACCCTGTTGGAATCACAGCATTCACTCAGACTGGATCACTTGAAACACACCACACACAAACTTACTTCTGCCAAATGAGTGAGCTTGTGATCCCCAGAGCTGATCTGTTGGTGATGAGTCAGATTCAGGGCTAGTTTACTTTAAATATCAGCCAATTCTTGGGCAGTTTTTAAGGTCAGGGGACAATTTTAAATCTACTGTATAGTCATTTTAAGTCATCTTCCAAATTCATCGCTTTTCTATGGCAAACATCTTCATTTTTCAGCTCCATAGTGGGTAGATCATAAAAATAGCATTGGTGGTCTGAGCAGAATTTTGTCAGGATTCTTAGGAGTAGGCAAGAAAGGCAACCCATGCTTCTATTGGGCAGTGAGATGATAAAGCAAGTCTCTGCTGCTTTTGATTCCTGGAAGGCGGCTCCTTAGGTCAGTTTGATAAGCATGCTGCCAAGCAGCTTTTTTAACTTTGAGATATTAATAAATGTAACTAAAGTCAGATTCTGTGCCATTGAATGATCAAAACGTAAGGGTCAAGAGCCATTCCCTTCATACCATGCTTCTGCATGTAAAAGATTGAAATCTTGTGATGTGACCAGTCAGGAGTGGGAGATACCAACTCTTGGATGCCAGACTGTGACACTACCAGTTTTGTAATTTAAATATGTAGGTTTATTGAAACCACTGCAATCACTAAATTTGCTTTACTCTTAAATTTATTTTTGATATTTTAATATCAACTTCATACTGTCACTCATTTTACAAACTCTCTTTTTTTCCCCCCTCAAGACCGGGTCTTTCTGTCTTGTCTAGGCAAGCCTTGAACTTGCTATGTAGCTCTAGCTGGCATCAGCCTCTCTCAAGTGCTGAGATTACAGGGGTGCAGTACTATGTCTGCATCTGGTTTTAAGATGTTTGTTGAGCAAAAGGTAATGTATTAGTCACCTCATTGCTGGGATAAGCAGGCATAAACAACTAAAAGGAGTGAAGATTTATTTGACTCACATTTTCAGAAGTTTGAGTCTATAATCGGGTGACTCCAATGCAGAAAGATCTTGGCAGAGGAAAGCTGCTCACCTCATGGCAGCCAGGTAGAAAAGGGAAAAAACTAGTGTGAAAAGGGCTGAGAACAGGATACACCCTTCAAAGGCCACATCCCAAGGGCCTACCTACTTCCTCTGGCCAGGCCACCTCCCAAGAGCTCACTCAGCTAGCTCACCGATGGGTTGATTCACTGATAAGGTCAGTCAGTACCCTCATAGTCCAGTCACCTTCCAAAATCCCCATCCCTGAAAATGAGACTTCTGGGTGAGTTTAGATCTAAACCCTAATAGGCAGTTTGTGCAGTACAGAAATGTGTTCTGATGTTGTTGCTCCTTTTTCTGTATCAGCCCCTGGTTAGAGGAAGGTGAGAGTAAGGAGCTTCATGGAGTAGGCTGTTTCAGGCAGGTTGGCCTCTGCTCAGAGACCTAAGAGAATCTGGCCTTGGACACCACTGGCCACGTAGGTGCTTTG